GCTGGGCTCTATGAGGAGAAATGTGGCATCAGGATTGTTGGAAGATCTATCAACAGTCTGCGTTATGCAGATAACACAACCCTGCTTGCTGAAACTGAGGAGGACCTGAAGCGCTTGCCGCAGAGGATCAAGGACTGCAGCCTTCAGTATGGATTGAGGCTCAATATCAAGAAGACAAAGATTCTAACCACTGGACCAATTAGCAGCATCAGGATGGATGGTGAAGAGATTGAGATTGTTCACAACTTTAGTCTGCTTGGCTCCAGAGTCAACACTCTTGGCACCAGCAGCCAGGAAATTAAAGGACGTAAAAGTAAAAGAAGTCTGCTGTTAGGGACCTCTCTCCAAAGTACTGAAGAGCATGGTGTCTCTGGAGACTAAAGTGCGTCTGATACAGGCCATGGTCTTTGCAATTACTTGATATGCATCAGAGAGCTGGACAATGACTAGGGAGGATAGAAGGAGAATTGACGCCTTTGAGCTTTGGTGTTGCAGAAGAGAATTGAGGGTACCATGGACTGCTAAGAAAATAGACAGTTTAACCCTTGAGAGGTTTAAACTGGGCTGCTCCTTGGAGGCAAGGATTCTGAGGCTTCATCTGACATACTTTGGCCATGTTGTAAGGAGAGACCTGTCCTTGGAGTAGGAAATCATGCTTTGGAAGGTGGAGGACAGGCGCCAGAGGGGAAGGCCCTCTAGGAGGTGGATTGATTCAGTGACTGGGATAATTGGGATGGGAGTGTCAAAGACAGTGCGATTGGCACAGGACAGAGCGGAGTTTAGGGCTGTTGTACATAGGGTCGCTATGAGTCGCAAGCAACTTAATGGCCCATAACAACAAAAACAACATACACCTTTAAATAGACTTGTCTATTTTTTAAAAAACCATATTTCTTTTAGAAATGGTGTTGTATTTCTAGTTCTCTTGGCGGGAGGTGGTCTTCATGGGAGTGATTCTCACAATGGTCTCTTGATGTCAGTGTATTATTCAAAACCTTGGTGACCTTGCAGATGTCAGGTATGTTTTAGAAAGACAAAAGTTAAAGTAACCTGTCATTTGCTTAGGACCGGGGAATCACTCTGGCAGTGCACTCAGGCTAAGCTGTTAGATCAACACCTGTGATTCCAACTTGGATGTTCCAGGAGTGGAGAGTTTCATCAGGATTTTCATCTTTATCCCCTGTTTGCGATACTTCTAGGCAAGCCGGTTTTAGGTGGGAGCTATCAGGAATCTTTGATTTTCTTTGTGTGTGTCATTTGGTAATGAACCACGAACCAGAAAGCCGCGGCACGTGAGCCACCGTGCTCCACCGGTGAGCTACATCTCCAGACCCGTGTGTGTCATTTGGAACACGGACACAGGTCTCCCTCAGTATGTTCAGCCCCAGAGAAGTCTGAGGGATCAGCTTCTTACCTGTACCTGCAATAGCAAGGGCTGTTGACACTGGCTGGGAGTCCAGCAGAGCTATGCTTGCAACAGGATAGCTCCTAAAGATGGAAGCTTGCCCATGCAGCGTACATCCAGGGAAGCTGCAACAAATAGGCATATTTAAAGAACTAGATAAGTTGGGAAGAATGCCTTTCTTAATGAATTTAAAATAAATTTAGCAAAATGCCTTTTGTGTCCAACATTCTCAAGCACTTAGCACAACATCAGGAAAGCTGTCTTCTCTTCTTTCCTCCTCTTGATGTCTCTTCTGGCACTCAATCCCTGACAACTTCACACTGGTCAGGGCATGTATTGTGTTTCTGAGGCCCCTTTCCTGAGAAACTTGGCTTAGGTTAATGACAGAGAAGTAGAAATTACCAAAGTAAAAAAAAAACAAAACAACATTACCAAAAGGTGATAGAGTGCCAAACATATTATCTCTTGGCACAACAGAGTGATTCCATTAGAAACTTAAGAAACATCAGTTAGAAGTGTGATCCCTGCCTGCCCAGGTCCCGTTTCTTACTTGGTAATTGATGTCTGAGGGATGCGGGGGTCTGCAGGGTCTTGGGAATTTGAGTGAATTCTTACATATCCACCGTTGATCCCTGTAACACCTCTTTTCTCTGAATCACTGTTGTGACCAGAGCTCATTTGGCTCCCTTGTTCACAAAGTGTGTTGGCAAGTGGGAAGCATGCCATTGACAGTTTGTCTTTGCCATTGACTCTATTTAGGAGTGTGGGCTGAACCCCCCTTTCTCTTTCAGTCCAGATGTCATACTCTCCTGTCTGACCTTCTTCCCTGCTCCACCTACCACATGAGTGGAGAACATTTAGGCTGTTTTAGAAACAAGGGTTATGATTTCTAGTAGAGAATTAATAATTAATAAAATTGTGTTGGAAATAAAGGGTTATGATTTCTATTAGAGAAATTTATAACCTAGTGCTCATGCCTGCATCTTGACTAGTAAAGGCAAGTGTGATGGCACCTGTGTTTCCCACTCTGATCATTACAGTTTACTGGGATAAATGTGTCATTCTCCTTGTCAAGACTGAGAAGAATGAGGTAGGTCTGGCCACAGGAGCACATGCTTGGATGCCTGGCAACCAAGCTTGAAACGTGTGAGAGAGGTTCTCACTGTTTTCAAGCACTTATCTCTGCTGACTGGTGTTTGTTTAGGATAATTTCAGGAAGTTTTCATTTGCCTGTGAGATGTAGAAGTTCAGAGTGGAATATGTTTTCTGCTTTCCCTTCGATATGTTTTCAAGCCTCTGCTTCTTCAGTGATGGACATTGTCCTTTTCTTTGGGTTAGTGGTGAATTTTTAAGTGTTCTGTAGCCTCTCAGACATTGGAGGGGAACTTTCTAAGTATGTATTTTTCTGGAGAAAGAACTTTGTGTATAATTTTTAGTATGTCAAAGAACTTTATGTTCCCTTCAAAAATTTTCAAATGCCAGCTCATAACATCATCTGGGAGGAATAGACAGTTCCAGGTGACCCTTTCAAAGATGTTCAGAGGAGACACACTCTTCTTTTGGCTCTTTATATGAATGGGTGTGAAGAGGGCTGCCACACTAAATCCTGGCAGAGGAAGCTCACATTTAATACTCGCATTTACCTGTGTATGTATTTTTAAATTACTTAGAAAGAAATTAAATTAAAATTCCTTTCTCAGAAAAACTAGCCTATTTAAAATGCTCAGTATTTTCATGAGAATGTGGCCATGATAATGGACAGCACATAGAACATTTCATCATCACAAAGAGTTCTTTCAGGCAGTGATACCTAAAGAACTTACTTTACACTTAATACCAAAGATGTATGCGTTTTTTTCATGACCATATTTTTTCTCCCTCCATCTTTATTATGAAAATGAGTTTCCTAATTCTACCTTCTCTGTGTTCTAGTCTCTAGAAGAAGTATGTGATCTGTTGCATGCCGCTCCCTTTCAGAATATCTTGCCCAGGGTCCACGTGAAAGGTGAGTGTGTCCTCCACTGGTCCAGGGAATTTTACCATTCATTGTAGCACAGTTGATTCACAGAGTTGGCTATACCAGAGAGAAAGGTGAGTTTTACTATTAAGATAGGTGCCTTTTTAGTGAGAACCAGAGATAATTTTGTCCATAGATTTTTCAGAGACCTACTATTTCAGACTTGGATGGCCAGTCCTTCTTCCTGGTCTCTTCATTTAGAAGCACTGCTGAAGTTTACTCATAATGGATGACCCTTCTGGCATTTGACATACTGGTGGTACAGTTTTGTAGCAACCCTCATTACAGCACACTAATAGATAAGAGCAATTATATACACAAGTAAGTATATACACAAGCTATAAAATAATTATTGTTTTTGTTGTTATGTGCCGTTGACTTGCCTGTGACCCATCATGACTCGATGTACAACAGCTCTGAAACCTGCCGTGTCCTGAGGCAGTCTCACTGACTCTGACACACCTACTCCCATTGCCCCAGTTACTGTATCGTTCATCTCATCCGGGGTCGTCTTTTCCTGTGCTGTCCCTCCACTTTTTCGAGCATGAATTTTTCTCCAAGGATCGGTTCCTTCTGGCCACATGCCCAAAGTTTGTTGTTGTTGTTATGTGCCGTCAAATCACTTGCAACTCATAGTGACGCTTATGTATAACAGCCCTAAACCCTGCTCTATCCTGTGGCAGCCTTACTGTCTCTGACACATCTACCCCCACCATACCAGTGACTGAATCAATCCATCTCATGGAGGGTCTTCCTCTTTTTTTATTTTTATTTTATTATTTTTGTGTGAGTGTACCGTCAAATCAGATCTGATTGGTACAGGAGGAGATTGTCCCTCCTTCCCCGGCAGAGCATCTGGTGGATTCGAACCGTGCGCCTCTGGGATTGTAGTTGCAGCTCCTTGTCCCTAGGCCACCAGAGCTCCCCTTTTTCCTCTCTTGCACTATCTCTTCACCCTCCCAAGCATGATGTCCCTCTCCAAGGACTGTTCCCTTCTTGCAGCATGCCCAGAGTATGTCAGATGAAGCTTTAGAATCCTTGACCCCAAGAAGCAGCCTGATTTCACCCTCTCTAGGAAGAACCTCTTTGTTCTCCTAGCAGCCCATTCTGTACTCTTCTCTAGCATCTCAGCTCATGGGCTTCAATTCTCCTTACAACATCTCTAGTCATAGTCCAGCATTTTGTGAAGTAATTGCAAAGACTGTTGGCCTTGATTAGGCTCACCTTAGTCTCCAGACTGATATTAGCAATATGCAAATCACTCCCCTAATACAACATACTGATAGGTAAGTGTTGTACCTCTAACAGCCTATCAGGCATATTATGGGGCAGTGCCTATCTGAGTCCTGGGACAGTGGTTGCTAGAGCCTTTTAGTTGAGTCCTATAACTGGCACAGCAGAATAACATTCCAACTGAGGCCAGTGGATTATCAGAATCATCAATGCTGCTGTTCCATAAAGTTTAGGTGGTGTCGAAACTACTGTTTTCCAGTTTCGATCACTGCTTGCTCTAAGCCAAGAAGGCTTGAGTAAGGCCTAAATGATGTCCAGATTGCTATTTTCTGGTGATAAAATTAGGAAAGTGGTGCATCCTCTCTATATATCTATTCAGTCTGTTGTTGTTGTTATGTGCCGTCGAGTCGCTTGTGACTCATAGCAACCCTATGTACAATAGCCCTAAACCCTGCCAGTCATAAATCCTGTGCCAGTCATACCGCTTCTGACACACCCATCCCAGTTACCCCGGTCACTGAATCAGTCCACCTCATAGAGGGTCTTCCCCTCCTGCACCGTCCCTCCACCCTCCCAGGCATGATATCCCTCTCCAAGGACCTGTCCCTCCTTACAACATGTCCGAAGTATGTCAGACAAAGCCCCAGAATCCTTGCCTCCAAGGAGCAGCCTGCTGTAACCCTCTCTAGGATGAATCTGTATTTTCTTGGCAGTCCATGGTATATTCAGTACTCTTCTTCAGTCTGTATGCTAAGCTAATAATTCAAGAAACCAGACAATATGAAGAAGAATGTGACATCAAGATTGGAGGAAGACTCATCAACAGTCTGCGTTATGCAGATGACAAAACCTTGCTTGCTGAAAGATAGGAATTGAAGCACTTGCTGCAGAAGGTCAAAACTTGGAACCTTCATTGTGGATTACATCTCAACATCAAGAAAACAAAAATTGCCACCTCTGGATCGACAGGCAGTGTCCTGATAGAGAAAAGATTGAAACTATAAATGACTTTATTTTACTTGGATCCACAACTAACCCAGGACTTTTGGGGGTGAGTCGGCCTGCTGTCAGAGACCTCTCTAAATCACTGAGGAGTCATTATTTTCTTTGTTACATGAGAGCCCTCAAAAAGTCAGATTGAGGACTATGGAGTGCCTGACTTATATAGTCTTTTCCGTCACTTCCTAGTCATCAGAACTGAACAGTGAATAAAGATGACAGAAGGAAAAAATAGATGCCTTTGAGCAGTGGTGTTAGAGAGAAGTACTGAACGTACCATGGACTGCCAAAAGAACAAATGGACATGTTTTGGAGAAAGTGCAGCCATAATGCTTCTTGGAGGAAAGATGATAAAGCTTCATCTAACATACTTGGAGCATGTTGCTAGGAGAGGCCGTGCCTTGGAGAGGAACATCGTACTTGAAAACGTGGAGGATTGGTGAAAGAGAGGAAGAACCTCAGTGAGATGGGTTGACACCATCACTGATGCAGTGGGTTAGAGTGTGTCAGAAAGGATGAGGATAGGACGGATTTCAGATCTCTTGTGACTTGTTGGCACCTAACACCAATAGGGATAAATGGAAGGCAGTATATAGCCTAATCCAGTAGTCAATAAACAAAGGAATTATGGCTAAAATTATAGGATATTTAGAATTTCCTTCAAAATAACATGAAGCAGAGGGAGATTGGGTGTCTAGTAAATCTCAGGTTAAGAACATTCAATTTATAGACAACACCAAATTAAGAACAGACTGCCATCATTGTTATTGTATTAAAAATGTGAGTTAAGTACAGTGACTTTTTTTAAGGAATATATGTATTACTCTCTGACATTCATGAAAGTATTGAGCAACTTCAAAAGTTGATTGGTTCAAGGAAGGAGAGCTCTATTTGCTTTGTAAAATCTCATGTTCGCATAGCATTGTGTTAAGTGTATAACTTTTGTATTTGGCTTAAATTTTTCTCTTTATTTTTGTAACTATGCCTCTAAAGTGTAAATGATTCATCTGCTGGCAAAGCATCAAAGAAAAGGAAAAGTATTGAAATTGAAAATAAAACAGAAATAGAAGAACAGTTGAGAAGGGCTTAACATACCCTTCTCAACTCATTGAAAAAACATGAGGCTATAGTTTTGTCAGTGACCAGACCATGTTAAAGGAAAGACTTTGATAATTTGATGGTGGTGGTGGTGGTTATGTGCTGTCGAGTTGTTTGTGACTCATAGCTCTGAACACACCTACCCCCATTACCACAGTCTCTGAATCAATCCATCTTGAGGGTCTTCCTCTCTTGCACTGTCCCTCCACTCCCCCAAGCATGATGTTCCTCTCCAAGGACTGCTCCCTATTGCAACATGCACAAGGTATGTCAGACGAAGCTTCAGAATCCTTGCCTCCAAGGAACAGACTGGTTTAACCCTCTACAGGAGAAACCTGTTTGTTCTCTTAGCAGTCCATGGTATATTCAATACTGTTCTCCAGCACCACAGCTCAAAGACATCAATTCTTCTGTCATTCCTTAGTCATTGTCTAGCTTTCTTATGCATTGCAAGTAATTGCCGAGACTATGGTCTGGGTCAGGTGCATCTTAGTCTCCAGACTGCCAGTGTTGCTTTTTCGTTCTCTAGAGAGATCCCTGACTTTCCCAGTAAAATTTGTCTTTTGATTTCCTGTCTGCTGGTACCAAGAGTGTTGATTGTGTAACCAAGCAAACTGAAGCTGTTAACAGTCTCAGTCTTTTCACCATCTGTCATGATGCTGCCAATCAGCCAAGTGGTGAGAATCTTTGTTCTCTTGATGTTGAGCTTCAACCTGTATTTAAGGCTACATCATTGACCTGAAGCAAACGTTTCCGGTTCTCCTTAGTTTCAGCCAGCAGGATTGTGTAACCTACATAAACAAAGATTTTTGATGAGTCTTCTTCCAATTCTGATGCCACATTCCTCCTCAAAGAGCCCAGCCTCCTAGATGATCTATTCTTCAATTAGATTGAAAGGTATGGAGACAGGACACATCCTGGTTTCCTAACTTTTAACCATGAAGTGTTTCCTTCCTCTGTTCTGATGACTGCCTCCTGTCCCATGTGTAGGTTTCACATAAGCACAATCAAGTGTTCTGGATTCCCATTCTCCTCTTGTCTCATGTATAGGTTTCGCATAAGCACGATCAGGTGTTCTGGGATTCCCATTCTTCTCAGAGTTAGCTACAGTTTGTTGTGATACATAGTCTGTGCCTACACAAACTATGCCTTTGTGTAGTCGGTGAAACACAAACTCTGCTTTTAGCCAAGATCCATCTAACATTAACTGTAATATCTTTAATACCAAAGCAGGTATGCCCACATTCCCAGAAGTCTAGTGGGCAGGACCTGAGTGTTTAAATAGTTTTGGGCCCGAAGGGCTTTTGACCCTGGGGCCAAGAAAACAAAACTTATATACCACTTCTAGGGGACATGTAACCCTCTCCTGGGAAACTATCCTACTGAGACAGCAGTGTGCTGCAAATGGAAGAAAAGCGGCACTTAGCCCCAGAAGGCTGTCCTGAAGCAGACGCTCAAGGCAAAGGATTTTTCCTCAGAACCATCGGAGACAGGAAGCCTTCTCAATACTAGTACCTGGTATTTGGACTTAGACATGCCTAAACTCAAGACATACTGGCTGCAGCATAAGAAACTGGCAGCATATTTGAAATCACAAAAGCACAGAAGGCTTGAGACCTAATTGATAATTTGGTTAGGTGATCAAAATCAGAATAATG